TGGTTTACTTTTTGTAAGTTAGACACTTCCCCAAAGAGCCAATGGACCACATTTTGCAAATCCAATAACCAAAGTACTAAGTAAAGCCATTAAATACTATATCATAATATTGTCAGTGTAAGTCTGGGGAGTCTAGTGGCTACAGAACTAAATATAGTGTCTCTGCAGCATAAGCTGAGTTTGAACAGAGTTTTTATGCAAATGCAAAAATGAAGTGGATCTGAAGTTAAACTACAGTCTGTGCTCTGACTGGTACATAATGGCACAAATTCCAACTCTGAAAAACAACTTAATTATTGAGGTCTACTTTAGTTGTGGGGGAAAATAAGGTTTTAGGTCAAAGCATGCCACGGGACGGGCTGATGTTTGGACATGACATTGAAAATATTGACTGAATACGTTTCATGAACCGGATGCTCTGCTTACACAATGAAACGATGGTTGTGCTATTGTGTCACAGTAAAAAGCCGGTGACTGAGTGAGAGTAAAAAGAGGAGTTTAAAGGGGGCCTATGATGCAAAATTCACATTTTTGCATGTTTTTGTTCTTACACTTGGTAGGAGATTCTAAAAGCAGCCCAAATACTTAAAACATATGTCTCTATCCATATCTATATCTATATGTCTCTATAGTATTCAACCAAATGGTGTTAGTTAAATGCTAGATGTAGTTGGTATGAGTCACGCCTTCCAAAAACTTATTGTCTTTAAGATTATAAAACTTTTGTTTTCAATTGTGAGATGATGTTCTTGTTTTTTTTGTTTTTTTTCTTGACCTCCTGGATGAGCTGTCAGTGACCTCTTGAGAGTAATTTTGGCAGACCGGCCTGTGCTGGGAAGGTTCACCACTATTCCACGTTTTCTTCATTGCAGAAAATATCTCCACTTCCTTTGTCTTTCCAGAGTGATACATGACAAAAGACTTTTTCTCATCTGTTCATTGTTTGCATTGGGAGATCATTTAGCCTACTTCATTCTGTCTGACTGGTCCTATTTAAGTGATTTCCTAATTCTACAGGTCTGGCAGTCATGAGGTCTGGTTGTTGCATGATCAAATTGAACTCAGCTCTTCAAAAAAATGTGGTTAATAACTGTTTTTCTTTTTGATTTTTCATAATGTCGGGTTGGGTGCATATTTTTTTTTCATCTTAGCAAATAATTATTTGAAAACTCCACTTACTCAGCTTATCTTTGTTTGACATTAACATTAGTTTGATGATGTTAAATAATAAAAAAAAAGGACCCAGACACTTTTTTACTGCACTTGTATCTTGCCTTGATAGCAGTCGTGCTGCTATCAAGTCGTTGTATCCTTTGACTCATATTTTTCTCACACGGGCTAAACTCCCATTTTGCTCTGACCGTCTCCCTTCTGCTCCTCAGTGCAGCTCACTGGAGCAGAGTTGGACCTGGATGGTGACCCGTATCACTCCAGCTCAATGAGATCCTGGAGTCAGACTGGTCTGACACTCTGTGGTGAACTTAATCAAGTTGTTTTTAATCACCTCCTGTCAAGCCTGTCTCTTCTTAAGTTTTAATGGATGTAACAGGTTAATATGCTCCGTCCTGTAACTACACCCAGTGCAGTGTAAGAGCGCATACTGTCAGTATAGTCAGCCACCCGATATAATCCCAGACTTTGTTTTCCTTGAAGTTATTTTTTAACATATTTCCCAGTGTGCGTCGGGGCTGCTGCATTTCTCCAGGCTCTCTATGCAAATGTAAACTCTCCGAAAAATCTCCCTGACCCTCGGAATCTGCCCTCCCTCTTCTTCCATAATATTCAGCTTTATGAAAATGAGGCTGAAGAGAAAAAGCCCTGCATTGTTACCAGTCTGCCCACCCCCAGGCTCCCTCTGCATGCAATGCAACCTCACTGTATATCTTTATTCCTCCTCCTGCTGTTATTCTCCTCAGCACTGACAGCCTGTTTGGAAGCCCTTAATATCACTGCATGTTAATGTTTTCAGATATTAACGTCTGTGTCAGGATCCGTGTGTGAATGCTTATTTCAATCTTAAGGGGTCTTCATCACTCCCTTTCAGCTTTTTGAAGACATACTGCATAAACGTTCTTGGGACAGCATGCACAGTATGTTGTAATATTTTTTTGTTATCCTAACATTATTTACTGCACAATAAGAGTATCTCAAAAAGTTGATTTTTCCTGCATTAATGATTAGATATAATATGAGTCCAAGGGTTTTATAACACTAAAATATTCTATTTTTGATTGAGATTCTTTTTTTTAACACAGCAGAAACACAGTTTTAAGAAAAAAATGCTCTGATAATGTCACTTGGAAGGAACAAATACTTTTTTTCTCTGATTAAACAGTAGGTGTAGTTAAACCCTGGTAAACATGTAATATAGGAAAAATCAACAATTTAATGGTTAGTTTGGATTTTATTTTTATTTGAGGTTCTGTGAAATCACTTTGAGGTTGCTGAAAATAAATTCACAGCGGTGGAAGCTAACTAGCTAGTCGGACGTGTTCATCTTTTAAGCTGACTTAGACATTTTAAGGCAACTGAAACTGAAAATGTTCATTTAAGTTCACATATCCTAACATTATTAACCACACAGTAACAAAGGAGACAGAGGATAGAAGGTAATCTGTGTCGACTGAGCAGCCATGACATTTTGTACCCAAAAAACAGCCACACAAGTTGCATAGTCAACACAATTTACCTTCTGTCCTTTGTCCCGTTTGTCGAATTAATCCAACATTTGAACAGTGGAAGGAAGCAGGCGTACCCAGACAGAGCCCGCGCACTCCGTGCTGAAAAACACCAGACTGGGATTCGAACCCAGCACCTTCTTGACGCAAAGCAACAGTGCTACCACCTGCGCCAGCGTGCAACCCATCCATACAAATATGTAGACTTTAAACATTAATGAGTATCTCTTTCCTACAAAATTAGTAACACAACATATAACAGTATTTTAATCTAAACTTTAAGATCCCCTCAGCTCGATTGTGAATACGGTTTAATCTGTAAGGAGTCAGTTTTAATTCCAAGCTAATGAAGAAGTCTAAGTGATCATGGGTCGAGAGTATGCGTCTGTGCACCACACAATGTGGACCTGCGTGCAAGGGAAATAATCACTGGCTTTAGAGAAGGGACTGGGTAATGCTTGCATGAAATTGCCTTCAGAGGCCTATTGTGCAACGACCCACTTCAGCTCCCCCCAGCCAGCAGCCAGCCTGTTGACTTCAAGGATTGTTCATTCAGCTATGAAGCCTGCGGTGTGGCAAAGTGGGGCGAGGGATGTGTTTGCGTGTGTGTGGTTTTTGGTGGTGGGGTAGCGGATGGTTGTCTGCATCTGCGAGTGTCGTGAAGAGAGATAACAGGATCGTTTGCTGAAATCCTTTTTCCAATCAGGGACCTCACATGTTTGCAGTGCAGAGAAAGTTGAGGGAGAAAGTGAGAGATGGAAATTGGGTGAGGGGGCGTGATGTGTTGTTGGGTGGTGAGTGACAAGGGAGGGGAGGTGTGTGGTGTGGGTCTTGGATTGGACTGTAATCCCTTAGTCCTACAGAGAAATAAGGCCGCACAGTCTGGGACAAACAATGAAACACGCACTGAACATACTGGCTGTCTCACACTGTAGCTGATGTAGTTTCATCATGACAAAATCTGTTTGGAAGAAACTACCTGATCCGCTGGAGGAAAAGGTTGGTTCTTTGTTTTAAGTGTTGAGAAGAGTTTGTGCTTTATGTGTAAGATGAGTTACTAAGAGATAAATACATGAAGAACTATATGTATAAGTAATGATGACTCCATATTTTTTGGACTATGTGAAAAGCTACTGAAAATTTTCAAATTTCTTATTTTACATGTGTGTTACTAGTTTAGCTCACTCATTTTGAGCGACTCGTGGTCAATATTTTAATGCTTTGGCTTTTGACCTGTTGATACAAGTTTCCGCTGATTCTGATTTCTCTTTAGGAGAATAACAAACTATTTCTTTCTAAACTTTCTTCAAGAATGCTCATTATTTATTTTTACTAGGAGCAGAGACAACATCACATGGGGTGTGTGAAAGAGTAAAACAGGATCTTGGTCATTAAAAAAAAAAAAAAACCTAAAGTTAGCGTAAAATGATCTGCAGTTTTTGTGGCCTTTATAGTCCAGAGAACTAGAAAGACCTACAGATGTGAGGCTGCCACAGCAGATCCTCTGAGCATCACCTGCAGGCAAGGCGGGTGAAGATGTGGACAGATCGGCTGTTTGAAACCATCAAACTCCTACCTCCTGAGAGGTAGGAGTTTGAGTGACGGCGCCCCAATCCACCTCATCAGCTGATTTTACAAACCCTTAGCTGATCCCGAGTCCACTGGGAACAACTATGAGACCTGGAAAATTCGGGAACTTGATGCTCTGTCACAACTGATAGGACTGACAGTCAGCAGCACATCTGGTGGACTGATACTTTTCTCGTTCATTTCGCTTGCACACGCAACCCCCTTGATTATGTGTATGAGAAGCTTTGAATATTGCATGTTTCATAAAGACGCAGTGGCACAGATGCAGCATGTAAAATATTTGCATGTTGGTAGAATTATTATTTTGGATTGTTTTATGATCAATGCTTTGAGTGGCATATACCTTTTTTGTTTTTGTGCCATTTCTGAGTCTCTATAGGTGAGAGAATAGTTTTTTTTTTTTTTTTAGATGTTTCAGAAATCCTAGTCAAAATATTTATTATATCTGTAGGTCAGTTAACAATCATAGTTTAGCTACAGTCAATTCAGTTTGGATACTCTTTTCTCTTAATGAATGAAAACATCATTTGAAAACTGTTTTTCCAACTGTATTTACTCATGTTATCTTTATGCAATATTGAAATGAGTTTGATGAAGCGAAATATTTCAGTGTTAGCGCCTCCATCCCACCAGGATGGTGCAGGAGCGTTAGCATCTGATGGCGTCTGTGTTTCATCTTATCGTCTTTTGCAGCTCTAATCACTCGGCCTCACCTCTTGTCTTCCTCTGCAGTACGACCCGGAGAATTCAGGCTTCATCAGCACAGAGCGCTTCAGGGACCTGCTGGCGACCCACGGCTCTGAACTTGATCCCCACAAACTGGAAGTGTTGCTGGCTCTCGCTGACGGCAACTCTGATGGAAAAATCTGCTACCAAGACTTTGTCAACTTGGTGAGAAGTTTGTAGAGCCAATGAAAATAAAATATGGTTAGCAAAGCCCTATTTTACATAGAGCTGGACTGGTTGGAATAGTTGTTTTAACATTTATGAGTGGATAATAATTTGAGAACTGTTTTTGTATTTATTTACATTACCCATGTCTGTCTAGGGCTGCGGCTAAAGATTAGTTTAGTAATCGATTGTTCTACTGATTATTCTGACAATTAAATGATTAATTGGATAAAACAACCCACTGTCTTAATTGAATTAGTTGACGATTATTATGGTAATCAATTCATCATGATTAATTGTTTCAGCCTTACTTCTCATTTAAACACTTTCTAAATGATCCTAGACATGCAAGTGTGAGAAAAACAGCAGAATCAGATTAATCAGAGCGCATCATGTTTCACAGCACCGTTCATGTCCCTGCATACATTAAAGATAGTTGGATTTGGACTTGACCTTACAGCTAATGTGCTCTGACCAAATGTGGTTATGCACACTGAGCCACACATTCTTTACACTGATCCTCAAAATCCATATTTCAAGATCACCTCGGCCGCAGTGTGGAGTTTTCTTCCCGACAGGAAATAACACTCACTCAGGTCACAAACTCCCTTTTTAACTCTCACCTTGCCCCACTTGCAGTTTCACCTTCAAACCGCAGCCTGCTGCTTATAGTCCTACATCTCACTCAAGTACCTCCATCTGGGCTTACCTGCTCAGGCAGGCTGCACTTTCATGCAGGAAGCTGAACCCTGGACAGCGTGGAGTGCTCTTGGAGCGAGATTCATCTCGCAGAAACCAATAACCGTTGGATTATTGAGGGATTGGGTGGGGACGTGCGTTTCTGCTAAAAACTGCAAGGAATTTATTGTCTGCCTCTCCCCGTGTTCTTTAAGTCGGTTTATTGCCTGAGATGGTGGGTGAGGAATGAAGCCTGTAGGAATCTGGGGAAAATGTCAAAAGGAGTTTTTGTTGTGCTCTTTCCAGCTCAGGTCATGTGGGAGTCTGATGGTTACAGTGCGCTACAGGTTGTGGGACAGGAAGGTTTTCATTCTTTTTCTTCAAAGTCTCCATAAGAGCACAGGAATTGTGAAATGTTTCTTTGTAAGCACATAAACGATGGTAAAGAAATTCTGCGTTACGTTAAATAAGCTGATTTCTGTTGTTCCGTCTTTCAGATGGAAACATGCACAGTAGAGCAGGTTATACCTGAAAGTCCTTTGACAACCACAAACTCTGATGGATGCAATTGGGATGTTATGTGATGCATCAACACAAAGTAGTGCATAACTGTGAAGTGGCAGAAAAATGATTTTCCAATACTTTGTAGAGAAAAATTGTATTTCTGTGAACATAAATATGAATGAGTTTGCCGCTTGTGTGTATGTGCAGTCGTCATAAGGAGATTATTTTGTGCGCTTTTTGTGGTACTGTGCTGCATTTTATCCAGTCTGCTCAATTAGATGATTTCTCGCATTTTCACAGATTTTTGGAAAACCATTTCTGCAAGAACATCCTGGTCAAACCGTGAGCAGTTAGCAGTTTCTGTCATTGCTCGGTCAGCCAGTTTATGTGGACAACTATGTCTTGGTTGGTTTGCGGCTGTTTAAATTCATATATACTTCAAAATCTGCTGGCCTTCACCTTGGCAGTCACAACAATCATTCTGATTGCTACACTGCTGGTCAGGACATGTTGGGGGGGGGGAGGGGAAAACAAATCATGTATTCTTTATATTTTATTTCACAAAAATGTTTAACATTATGTTGATCTGAAAATATTTGATTAGCACGTAAAGATGACATAATGCCATCAAATCACATACTCTCTGAGGAGCTGAAGTGAAAATGTAAACAACCCTCCATCTTTACTGCCAGCGGCTGGTCTCTTGTACATTTTTATCGCTACAAAAGTAAAGGTGGTCGGCAGGTAAAAAGTGGTTAGAGGGGGTTTTGAGGTGTAATGGATGGGGGCCGGGACAGCCAGAGACAGACTGTGAGGGGTTTATTTGGCACGCTATTTCTTCTTTGCACAGCAGCTCTTCCATCAGTGTGATTGTCAGTAATTGCCTCCTTGCTGCTGCATCACTGGTAGCATTTAAATTACTGGTCCCTGTTCCCTCTCTCCTTACGCTCTTTACCTTTACCTCTGTCTTTGTTTTCAGTTTGTCTTTCCTTTCTTTTGCTTGTCGCCTCTTTTGTCTCGCCTCTTTGTCTTCTCATGTTTAACTCTGCGTCATCCATCACTCTGAAGTATCTCCTTTGCGTAGACTGGCAAGGGAAGAAACTAGTCCATAACAGCTTTACATTTCCCCAAGTACCTCCGCTTTTAGTCTGCGTGATTTTGTTTTGCTCCCTAAGGATGATTACACACATTTTTGAAACGGGACAGCATATTGTATCCTGTTGCACATTTTGGTTACCGCAAATGTCGTCTTTAACAGTTTTGTGTATTGAAGGTATTCTTTATGTTGCCTCAGTGTTCTGTTAAATGTCTCCAGTCTTTGATTTGTGTTTAAAGTTATTGTGTTTAGTTTGACATTTTAGTAGATCATTTGATGCTTCATTGTAATCACTGCATTGGCTTAAATACCGCTCAGATTAGCTTTGCCAGATCCACCTGCCTGACATGTTCTGTTCGCTTATTGCCAACCTTTCCTGTTGTTTCCTTGTGTCCTGTGAGTTTGCCTGTTAAACTGAGCATTTGCTACAATTCTGCCTATGTCCTGCTTGCATTTGGACCATACGCCACCATTTGCTGTAGCAAAACATAATGCCATTTTCGTCACTAGAAGTGGTTTCGTTCAGTAACAGAAAATGTGAACATCTTAGCTCTTCAGGAGCGCAACAATAAGTAAATAACTCTGTTTTTACTATGTTTCAGATCATTAAACGAGTGTTGATATCAGACATCAGTATGAGTAAATGCAAAACAACAGGAGCTTTGGGTCCCTCAGGGTGTTGTTCGCAAATGAGGGAAAATGGACAGAGTTAAATAGAAGGCGAAAATACCAGTGCAGAAAAATAAAGGACTTTTCTCAAACACTTGCAGCTTTAAATGAAGCAAAAGGCATTTTCAGACTTGAATTTGGAAAACATGTAAAAACTCTCATTTTCCTTTAATTTCACAATTAAACACTTCTTTGTTTTGAACCATCACATAAAGTTTGAAAATGCACACAAGTTTATAGTGGTAAGGTGACAAAATGTTAAAATATGTAGGACTAACTTTGCAAGAATAAGTTCGTTGAGAGTTTACTGTGTTGTAAAATAATGTTTAAACTTGACTTATGCTCGCTGACAGAAGCTGGACGGGCTCTAAGTTTATGCTGATCTGTGCACCTGAGTCATTTCCTGGTTTCAGCCCATGAGCGCAGTGATTCATTAGGGCCTGTGTTTGTGGCGCAGAACAGCAAGGCTATCCATCTGCAGCTGAAAGATTTCAACTAACACCCACCACTACAGATCACAGCCACTGAGAGCAAGAGGTTTGCTTGCTCCAAAGAAATATCCACCACTCTTATTTGTTTTTGGCAAGACTCTGCATGCATAAAAAAGGGGGATTTCTCTCCCCAAGGACACAGAAGCTATTGGTAACAACAACCACGCATATTCACGTTGCATATTTGTTAGCTGGATTAAAATATTGTGTTGAAACTTGAGGTAAAGACTTAAATCCTTCCTTGATATTGTGATAAAAACTAGAAAACCTTCTGAATCATGGCTGGAAATGATAAACTCAATATTCCTGACGAAGGCTCCTCTACATTTTGCCCTGATGAATGTGTGAGACTGTTCCTTTATTGTAATACTGTAACAGTTATGTGCACAATGACCCTAATTACTGGACATTATAATATGGCTGCTCATATTAATATGAACCCTTTATACTTAACAACTTGCTGCTGTTTCTTTTTTTATATATTTTTGATCAACTTGGATACTTTTTATAAATATCTTCTGAATTTCCTCTTATCCTCTAAATATTTCATCTGTGGAATATTTTGTGTACATACAGAGAAATGGGCTTTGTGCACTTTTTCTTTTCATTTTTGCTTGTTTGCTTGTTACAACTAAGAAGTTGTAACTCCAGTGGTTCTCTGTTCTTGTCAAGGTTTTTGATTTTATTGGGATTGAAAAAAAAAAAGATGTTTCTTTTCTGTTGGCGATAACTTCAATAGATTTCTGTCCAAGTTTCAAAATAACAGTTTAATTAAAGCACTGTTGAGCAAAAAGTTCAGTTTGACAGATCAGTATATTCAAGGGTTTTTCCCCAAAGATTGGGGGCAGGACCACTCTTTTTTCATATATATATATATATATATATATATATATATATATATATATATATATATATATATATATATATATATAT